TTCTTCTTATCTTATATACCTAGCACTCAACCACCACCCTTATACAGGATATGTCCTTGAAGCATCCATTGCAGGTTATTCTTCTTGGAGAGATGGTTCCCAGTAAAATGTGTTATGGGCTACTGCATAAAATGAATCAGTGCATCCTAAAAACATAACCGGTTGTTCAGCTTTTCACATTGTACACAAGGTGGCTGTATTTTATGGCCTGAACTTTAGATCATTCATTGATCTGCCATAGACAAGAAGTTCTCATAGCTGTCAATACCCAGAATGTGCAATTTGTATCTAGGACATATATCCAGTGAAATTATTTCTTTTCCCTGTGTAAAAGAAGACTACTAAAAACAAGTTAAAAGATCATCCTGTATGCTGAGAAAATGTATTCAAGCGACTCCCATGTGTACAATAAGCAGCACAATGGGGTTGATTTACTACAACTGGAGAGATCAAAATCTGGTGCAGCTGTGGATGGTAGCCAATGCGCTTCTAACCTTAGCTTGGTCAGTTAGGCTTTGACAAAAAAAAAAACTGGAAGCTGATTGGTTTCTAGGCAGAGCTGCACCAGATTTTGCACTCTCCAGTTTTAGTAAATCAACCTCATATCTCTTACCCTATGCAGATGTTGCAAAGCAATATTTGCAACAATCGTATACTGGCTAGCTAGCTTTACCTGTAATAATAAGTCAATACCCATCTGTGTATAGTGTACATGTCATGCTGTTTATTCTCTCTAAAGCTGGCCATACACTGAGAAAAATTTCATCTGGTTCTTAATGAGCTGGAGAAACGTCAATCAGAGGGTGGTGCTTTTAGGCACCACTCTGCCCGACATCTTTCAATTGAAATATCGGAGGAGCCAAGCAGAACATTGTCAGCTGAACAATCAAATACTATAGCAGCAGCGGGAGATACATCTGTTTAGGGTGAATGTAGGTATCCATTTGATTTTTTTCAATCAACCTACAGGCTAAAGGACAAAAATCTATGGGTGTATGGCCAGCTTAAGTGTGGAATCATTCTGTCTGTTCCTTTGTATGTTTCCTGTAGACACTGTTTCTTCCAAACTCCAGTAAAGGTACAGCCCCTCGTCTGGAGCTGTCTGGAAAGCATCAAGAGCATGTGTTTATATTTTCTGCTTTATAGGATGTTGAGAACTCCACATCTTTCTATCTGAGGTTATAAAGTTAGAGTTTAATCAAAAAAGTACACAACCAATTTCTGCAAAGGGAACCTTGCATTTACCCTAGGTTCACACCTAAGAGTTTTCTGCAGCGTTTTGCAGAAACGCACAGCAGTCCATTTAACATCATTTCCTTTGGGACAGGTTCACATTTCCATGTTTTCACCCGGGGCGTTTTTTGGAAAGGGTCAGGGACTTTTTTGAATACAAAATGTGTTTTTGGTTCTATTGACTTCAGTGTGAACACTGCAGAAAAGCATGTATTGCATTTTTGCTGTGTTTTTGATGAGTTTAAAATCTGCCTAGCAACAAGAAAAAAAAAATGAAATAAAAAACACAATGTGTCAAACGCAAGTGCAAAACGTAATGCAGAAGCACATCAAACTCAACCTGCATAGGTGTGAACCTAGACTAATGCAGGCCATAGATGGGTCGAAAATCGGCCGATTTTTCGGCCGAAAATAAAATCGGCCGATTTTCGGATCATTAGTGAGCGATTTGGTCGGCCGTTTTTCGGTATTTTGGCCGTTTTTTTTTTTTTTCGGTAAAGTTGGAAAAAAATCGGGCGATTTTGCCGATCGGCCGATTTTCGCGGCAATAATGGGTAAATCGGCCGATTTTTTTTTTACCGATAAAAAATCTGCGCATGAGCAGTGACCTGCAAGAGGAAGACAAAAAGAAGAAGAGGATGAAGATGATGAAGAGGAAGAAGTAGAAGAAGAAGAAGAGGATGATGATGATGAAGAGGTAGAAGAAGAGGATGATGATGATGAAGAGGAAGAAGTAGCAGAAGAAGAGGAGGACGATGATGAAGAGGAAGAGGATGATGAGAGGAAGAAGAAGTAGAAGAAGTAGAAGAAGAGGATGATGATGATGAAGAGGAAGAAGAAGAGGATGGTGATGACGAAGAAGAAGAGGATGATGATGATGATGAAAAAGAAGAGAGGATGATGATTGAAGAAGAAGAAGAAGAGGAGGATTATGAAGCAGGAGAAGAAGAAGAATGAAAAATTAGAGGAATTCCAGTACGGCAAAAAGTGTCCCTGCAGAGAGCTCCGCTATTTCTTTGACAGTTCTCTGACAGTTCCTTGACATTTACAGCGGTTGCAACATTGTATCTATTTGTTTCCGAATAAAAACATCTGTATCCTAAATGGAAACAAATAGATACAATGTTGCAACCTCTGTAAATGTCAAGGAACTGTCAGAGAACTGTCAAAGAAATAGCAGAGCTCTCTGCAGGGGCACTTTTTGCCGGCTCTAGACGGGATGAAAATCGGACGATTTTTTTTTTTACCATTGATGGTAACGTCGGCCGCTTGAACGACCGATTTTTCGTTTTTTAAAAGAAAAATCTGCCGTTTTTCTCCCCATCTATGGCCTGCATTAGACATGATAGAATTAATGTGACAGATGCTTGCTTTAGATAACAGATTGGATGGCTTCACAGGTGTGACCGTATCAGGTTGATTTACTAAAGCATCATAAGCTGTTCACTTTATTTATTTCAGGTACTTATATAGCGCCATCAATTTACACAGCGCTTTACATATATATTGTACATTCACATCAGTCCCTAACCCTCAAGTGGCGTACAGTCTAAGGTCCCTAACTCACATTCATACATACACATACTAGGGACAATTTAGAGAGGATCCAAATAACCTACTTTGCAAGGGAAGTTGCACTTTGCAAGGGAATTGTCCCCAGAGTTTAGTAAAATGAGGTGAAGCTCTGCTGCCTTTCATCATCCAATCAAGTTTTTTTGTTAATTCCTTGTGTTTTTATTTCTAATTTCTTGCACTTGATTGGGTACTTTTGCCAAAGTTAAATTTCTCCACGTTTACTAAGCTCCTAGAGTACAATTTCCCTTGCAAAGTGAACAGCCTATTTGCCTTTTGTAATTTAACCCCTATATCTGCCTTATTTAAGAAGGTAAATAATCTGATTTCAGTTTATAAATTCTGATCAATAAAATTATTTCTTTTGTATGGGTTATTGCATCTCACACATCATTCGTGCATATATTTTAAAGCAGTGATTGATTGATTAAGGCTTGCAGTAGACATGCTCAGAAGGCTGACTGGCCAAGCAGCCTTCACACAAATTTTTTTTCCATAAACAGGCATGGTTGTGTTAGTTAACTGTGCATGTTTATACAATGAGAAAACACCACTGGGACTGAAATTTTCTCAGGGAGAAAAAAAGCGACCATCCAGGAAAATCCATTTCAAACATTTGTTTAATCCCTTGATCAGCCACTAAGAAGGTATGTGCAAAGGCATACATATAGCTCCCAGGGGTTGATTCACTATAGGTAAATAGACTGTTCACTTTTAGTGGAAGGTGCACTTAGCAAGGGAATGATTGCCAGAGCTTAGTACATATGGTGAAATTTTACTTTACAAAGAATACCCAATCCAGTGCAAGAAAAATACACTTTGTAAAAACACTGTATTTATTTGCACAAGACAGAATGATGGAAGTCAGCACAGCTTCACCTTATTCATTAGGTTCTGGAGCAAATTCCCTTGCAAAGTGCAACTTTCCTGGCAAAGTGAACAGTTTTATTTGCCTTTAGTAAATCAAACCCCAGTTTCCCCCCCAATAATGGACCAGACAACCATCTCATGTCTGTGGGTAGCCCAAAAGGTGTAAATTCATCATTCGCTCGGGGAACTTGCTTGCGTCACCTATTACTCAGCCATGGTAAAAGAAAAATGTGTTGATATTCTGTAATGTGTCTACAAACAGTAGGTGCATGTGTTGAAAAATGGGTATTTAGGTGAACATTGATCTTTATTTCTCAATAAAGCACCAAGGCTTCTTATGTCTATTTGCACATACTAACCAGATCTCAAAGGTAGGTGTAGGTCAACCACTACAAGAAATGTTTGGTGGCTAGGGGATATTGCCATTTGTCTTTAAAGATTGTTGTCCTGGCACATTCCATTCTCTAGAAGTATTTTTAACACTAAAGTATCGTAAATGATGGACACCTGAAAAAATGATATTTTGGTTTGTTGCAATGTACTGCATAGCAATCTCTCATAGCTGCCAAGCAGATTTCCTCTGCTGTAACTTATTGAGCATTGCATAATGAAATTTATGACAGCCTTGATGATAAGAATAATAGATTTCCTTAGAAAGAGTGTATTTTCTCTAGGCGAGTGTGGCCTTCTAGACCTGCCAAACCTCACAGCTACTTCCTGTTAGGAGTAGGACACGGATTTGGCAATGGAGATGCAGCTGCTCCAGATGTGACCACTTTAACCGCTGGAAAAACCCTGAGGCTCTCACCGTCATGCTTTGACTGGCAAAGCTTAAAGATTTCCCCTGCACATTATACTCTAAAATGTCCATAGACCCGCGTTTATGTCTGTGTGCTCCAAATAAGGTCTTGCTAGATCCGCACTACAGGAAGCAGCTTTTTTTTTAATCCTCTTTCATATACAAAGTAATTTAAGCCCAGTAGTTGATGAATCGAACATTCTCACAATAAAATATTAAAGTAATATTACAATGAATATGTCTCTGTTAAACACCTTGCAATTTTGCATATCTTCTTTTAGATCATAATCCAGTTTATTTAATAAAGCAACGATCAATTTGAAAATTGCAGTAAGCCAAGACAACCAATTGTGTAGCATCTTTCTTTGTTTTGGCTGCTCTAAATGGATGAGAGATGGTTGCTGTAGGTGACTGCACTTTGCACATCATCTCTACTTTTATGAAAGTGACACTAAACTAAAATTCTATTAAAGTATGTATTCTTAACTCTTAGATTGTAAACTCCAAGGATCAGGGCCCTACTAACCAGGAGCGGACTGACCATTTAGCCACTCGGGCACTGCCCAAGGGCCCAGGGTCAGTAGGGGGCCCTATGAGATGCCCCAGGTACCTTTCATTGGCTTTTTCATGGGCTTTTGTGGGTGTGGGCAAGGACAGGGGGCCCCATAATCCCCTATTGCCCGGGGGCCCCATGAGTTGTCAGTCCGCCCCTGCTCCTAACCCTCTTGTATTGAACTGTATCATTGCTGTATTGTCTCCTGCTTTATTGTAAAGCGCTGAACAAACTGTTGACGGTATATAAATCCTGTATAATAATAATAATAATAATAATAAAAAATTCCCTTCTACTGCTTTCAGCTGCCTTCAAATCTCCAAATTCCTTTTTTTTGCTGCTGTAATCCCACTTCCTGTTAATCACTTGTCCTCCAGAGGATTTACCCCCCTTCCTGACCAGGCCATTTTTTGCGTTACGGCGCTGCATTTTTTTAACTGACAATTGCTCGGTCATGCAACACTGCACCCAAATGAAATTTACATCCTTTTTTTCCCAGAAATAGAGCTTTCTTTTGGTGGTATTTTATCGCCTGTGCGTTTTTTTATTTTTTGCGCTATAAACAAAAAAAGAACAACAATTTTGAAAAAAAAAAACTATATTTTTGATGTTTTGCTATTAAACATGTCCAGTGAAAAAATAAAAAAAAACAAATTTTGTCATAAATTTAGGCCAAAATGTATTCTGCTACATGTCTTTGCTAAAAAAAAATCCCAATACGTGTAAATTAATTGGTTTATGGTAAAGTTCTAGCGTCTACAAATGGCGGTATATATAGTGGAATTTTTTTGTTCTTACTAGTAATGGCGGCGATAAGTGACATAGCAGGGCTGCGGTGGGCATTCTGACACTGGGGGGAACTGACTTGGTGTCACGGACATCCCCAGTGACACCAATACAGTGATCAGTGCTAATAAAAAGCACTGACACTGTACTAATGGCACTGGGCAAGAAGGGGTTAACGTGGGGCGATCAAAGGGTTAACTGTGTGCTGTTTTTAGTGTGGGGGCTGTGTGTTTCACTGTAAGCACACTGCTTTGTATGGCTCTGCTATGCAGAGCCATACAAAGCAGTGTGCAGGAGCTGACAGGGGAGAGATCTATATTGTTTACATACAGATCTCTCCCCCCCCCCACCTGAAATCCTCGGAGATCGCCGGGAGCTGGCGGGGAATCACTGGCTGGGACCCGGTGATTGACAGCCGAGGCTGCGAATGGCGGCACAGGTAGGGCACGTGGGCGCGCCTCCCTATGCGCAACTGCAAAATCATGTGTATATATACGTGATTTTGCTCCCCCGTACCGCCCTGTAGCATTATTTTCACTATAGGGAGGCACGGAAGTAGTTAAAGGGTGGCTACATGTGTTCTCTATGACCCCACTGTATGTAGAAACGTAGCCGCTTTCTCTTGCTTGCTCCTGAGATGGACTAGAGACTATGGGATTTGTAGTGTGCATAGAGCAGTGCACATGACCACAACTAATCTGCACTGCTCATTCCAAACAAACAGAAGTGTGGAAAAGTAGAGGTTTGGGAGCTCACCAAAGACATTACAAGGAGGCAGAAAACTCAGTAAAGAACAGTTTCATGAAAAATAAATTGCAGTGCCATTTATTAGTAGATATGCATGGATTTGTTTTTAGAAGGATAAGGATATCAGTTCAGTATCACTTTATGTAAGTCAGACTTAGCTTATAAGATTCACTGTAACAGCCAAAGACACAATTTTTTTTTTTTAAGCATTGAGGGCCAGTTCACACCATGCCCTGAGCTGAATCGCACATGAACGCCATCTGTGGCTCTGTGCGGTGTGATTTCAAGCCTAGCAGTACTTTTTGAAACGCACAGCAACCACATTGCATGGTACTTTCTACTATGCGATTTGATGTGGGCCAGTGCAGGCAAGTGCAATGCATTTGCGACCTGAGTTTGGGGTGTCATTATCTTTTAACTGACCCCCACAACAGATCGCAAGGGCTTTGGAAACGGAATATGGTGCGGGAAGCCACGTGGAACCGCGGTTCTCTTGCTCCGCATTTTATTGTGAAGAAGCACTGAGAGAAATACTGGTTGTGTGCCTGTCACAATTAAACATCTGTCAGAACTGTGCAGATGGTTTCTATTATAAATCAGACATTCTCTCTCTGATGTTGTAGAAAGATGCAGGTGACCTGTCTGAGTTTGAAATATGATTGGAAACCATGGTAGTAATATTGTTAGAAATATGACTGTGTGTTAAAGGATAAGGAAGCCTTGCAACACTGGTGTCCTCGGTTCTCATCCCATCCAGGCCACTACCTGCATGGAGTCTGTATGTTCTCCCTGTGCTTGTGTGGGTTTCCTCCCACACTCCTAAAACAGGCTGGTCAATTGACTCTTGTCCAAATTGGTCCTGGTATGTATATGTTTGTATATGAGATAGGGGCCTTAATGTGTAAGCTCCATGAGGGCAGGGACTGAAGTCAATATAAAAGAGGTAGATAAGAGTGTATTCACACCTGTGAAAGGCACCTGCCCTTCAATTAGATGAGAGAACCCCAGTAGGGGGTTCCTGGGAATAGCTGCAAGAGGCAGCCCCATTGAAAGCAATGGAAGACTGCCAGCCCCCACAGCTAACTGCGGTCACTCGCATGTAATCATTAATGCAACAATCGCATGCAAGTAGGCATAGACAAAGGCAGCCTGTGTCCAGGGCTGATCGCTTCCATGCAGGGGTGGACTGACAACTCATGGGGCCCCCGGGCAATAGGGGATCATGGGGCCCCTGTGTCCTTGCCCAAACTCAAAAAAGCCTATGAAAAAGGTACCGGGGCATCTCATGGGGCCCCCTACTGACCCCGAGCCCTCAGGCAGTGGCCGAGTTTCCAAATGGTCAGTCCGCCCCTGCTTCCATGTGATCGCTGCATGAAAAATTACATGTGAGTGGCCATGATTAGCTGCGGAGCTGGCAGCCTTCCATTGCTTTCAATGAGGCTGCCTCCTACAGCTAATTGCAGGACCCCCACTGGGGTTTTCTCATCTAATTGGAGAGCAGGTGCATTCGCAGGTATGAATGCCCCCCAGATTGTTGATGCTATCTAAATTAAAAGAAAGGAAAATATAAAGGCAGACTAATAATTCTGTAGGTTGTCTGGCTTTCAAACTGTCATGAGCCATGAATTTAGAACAGGTATGCAAATCAGGGCTTCCGAATTTTCTCTGACTTTGCTGATATGCATACTTAGTGTGGGACAGTATTAAAGGTACAGCTTCAGTATAACAGCCAGGCAACTAGCATATTCAGAATTAGTTTAGCCCTTTATTTTTTCTTAGAAATATTTTTATATACCTTACATGCCTTTTAATGCTGTATAAGAGATGATATGAAAACAGCACCATGTGTAAGATTAGGGCCATCTAGGGTTGCCAACTGTCAAGACATAATAGGCAGTCAAAAAATGCAGAATGCAGTTAAAATAGTCTGCGTTAATAAAAATGTTTTAAACAAAAAAAAAAATATATCAAAAGAAAGCTTAAAGAATTGGGACTTTATAGGCGCTGATACCTTCTCTCAGAGAAATGACAACCATATTTAATAAAACCGCTTTTATTGTACAAATAGTTTTAAAGTATTCATGTATTATTAACATTCCCATAAAAGAAAATTCTGAAACAGCATCACATTATTTGCTCAGTATCACAAGCCCCATCATGCACTTCCCCTCCCACATGGACATTAGATGTTGAATATTGCTTGCCAAAATGTTCTTGCCCATGAAAGGGAGAATGTGCAAAATAACTGACGTGTTTCGCACTCCTGCAGGGATGTGGTGGCTACAAACCAGACCTATTATTATTTTGAAAAGAAAAAAATCAAAACAAAACAAAAATTATAAATATATATATATACGCGAACAATATATATATTTATTACTACATTTAATTATTTTAATTTCATTGCACAGTATAGCATAGTCCAGGGTCCACATATTCACAACACATAGGGACTGAACTATTTGCAATATGCCCTCATTTATGCAGCAATGAAATATGGAGGCGATTTACTAAAACTGGAGCACTCAGAATCTGGTGCAGCTGTACATAGCCAATCAGCTTCTAACTTTAGCTTGTTCAATGAAGCTTTGGCAATAAAACCTGAAAGCTGATTGGTTTCTGTGCAGAGCTGCACCAGATTTTGCTGCTTCCTAAACAGCATTTAATTGCTCAGCATTAAGGCTAGGTTCACACCTATGCAGGTTGCATTTGAGCCATTTCTGCATTGTGTTTTGCGTTGCGTTTTGCATTTTTGCACCTGAGTTTTTGCCGCATTTTTTATGCATTTTCTTTTTCTTGTTGCTAGGCAGATTTAAAACACAAAAATGCAGAAAAACGCACTACATGCTTTTCTGCAGTGTTTCCATTGAAGTCTATAGAACCAAATACACAACTTTTTGCGTTCAAAAAAATCCCTGACCCTTTCCAAAAAGCGCACGGGTGAAAACGTGGAGATGTGAATGTGTCCCATAGGAAATCATGTTAAATGGACTACTGCGTTTCTGCAAAAAAACTGCGGAAAACCCTTAGGTGTGAACCTAGGGTTAGCGGTCATTCATACCAGAAGTGATATTTTACTTGGGGTCTGGTTGGCTGAGTCTACTATCTGAACCAGGGGCGGACTGACAACTCATGGGGCCCCCGGGCAATAGGGGATCATGGGGCCCCTGTGTCCTTGCCCAAACTCAAAAAAGCCTATGAAAAAGGTACAAGGGGCGTCTCATGGGGCCCCCTACTGACCCCAGGCCCTCGAGCAGTGCCCGAGTTTCCAAATGGTCAGTCCACCCCTGATCTGAACATTTTGGAAGATTCATCAATCTGAGTAAAGAAATCCAACATGGAAAGAGGGTCCCCTTATAATGGCCACAGCAGGTGCACAGACCTATTATCTCAAGTGAAGATATCTACTAATAAACTACTGGAAAGATAGAAGAAATTGCTGTGTGGTTTAACTCTCTAGCATCTTCATACAAATAAAATGTCATGTTCGAGTAGACAGACCCTTTAATTATGGTCCCAGTGACAAAGGTGCATAGATCATGTGCTACCAAAGATCCACTAAATAAACTGTCACAGAACTGGGAGGCAACCACTATTCAGTGTTGAA